ATCAATTTCACATTCGACGTAATGACGTTGCGAGCCGCAACAACCACCGACTTAGCCGTGTTTTTCCACTTTCTAATTGGAACGTTTTCTTCTTCGTCCATGTCACTTATCCACAAGCCTATTCGAATGTCTTGAAAATAAAAAAATTATTAGAAGACAAATAGAGACATAGTTTTGTCGAATCTCAAGCTTGCATCCACTGCTAACTATATCTTATTTTATAATTAGATTTCTCATTATAGTTATTTAATTATATATTATAATTATAAATTTAAAATTTTATATAATATTATTTTTATATCATTCATTATAAATAACTTCCAACTAATATATCCTGCTGTTGAAAATAAACCCTATATAAAAGCATGTACCCACTTCAATCCGTCACTAACTTCAAACTAATAATAATTAATATTAAAAAAATATTTTATTTTTTAATTTTATTTTTTAATAATAATTAATATTAAAAAAATATTTTTCACTTTTGTGTTTAAAATTTAAATACAGATAAGAATAACCCATTTTCTTAACAGAGACGAAATCCGAAAACGACAACAAAGACACAGCTCATCTGCACCTGCGAAATGCGATGCAGTGCAGTTGCTTTTGAAATCTAGAATAAAAATAGTGGTCTGGTCTAGAACTGTAGTTGCAGAGAACTGGGAGGTACTCCGGATCTTAAGTCTTCACTTCAGCTATCCTGCAAAGACCTGAGATGGGTTCTCGGGATAGACACTCCAATATTTAAGTCAGCAATAATCAGAGCTACCAGTTATGGAGTGAAAGTAAAAGCTGAGGTCGAGGTTAGTTTCCAATACCCTTTAGAGGTGGACCCTGGAGGGTATTTATAGGCCTTCAGGGGATGTCCACGTGTTGATCCTTCCCAGAAATTCGAGTGACGCGTGTCGAACATCGCAGGTACTTCTCGTGAGGGGTTTGCATGTGTACAGAACTACTGCGGAGCAAGAGCAGAGGGAACGAGCTTGAATCCAACTGAGCTCGTCGTCCTTCCATCGAATCGAGGTAGCTGGATGTTGGGGGCCACTCCGAATGTCAGAGGTTGCGCATCTCGGGCAGCTATGGAGTGCACGACTTCGAACTGGCAACATGCTTCATTTCATGACCTCTGACTGCCTACGTACCTCTGATACCTCATAACCTCTGTCATCCCACATACCTCTGACACCTCATGACCTCTGTCTACCACCGGTACAGAATCCAATCCACATTTGAAGTCATGATGAGTAGTTACGAGCTGAAAGAACCGGCTATTGCCTACCCATTGAAAATAGGACAGTGATGTGCCGACGCATAGGGATTTAGCCGTGTTTTTCCACTTTCTAATAGGAACGTTTTCTTCTTCGTCCATGTCACCTATCCACAAGCCTACTCGAATGTCTTGAAAATAAAAAAATTATTAGAAGACAAATAGGGCTGATTGGTGGAATTTTTAAGAATTTTAATTTATTTATATTTTATCAGTTTAATTTTTTTTAAAAAA